TAACGACTTTGAGGCGGGTTTGAAAAGGCTGACCGAATACTAACCGAAGGAGAAAGGGAAGAAACTAATTTATTAGTCAATAAACTTACCAGAATACCAGCTCCTACTCAGGAAGAGCAACAATTATTAGCTCAATTATACCTCACTACTGAACAATTTATTGCGCTATCCCAGCAAACTCCCTATTTAACTCGCGAAGAAAAAGAAGCCATAAACGATAACTATTTATCGCTCAACTCGGCCCAAAAATTACAGTTGCTTAATTCCGGTTTAAACAATTTAGGAATTAATAACCAAGCAAGAAAACAGAGATTTGCCCAATTAAACCATACTCTTTATCAAGAAAAATCCACTTTTGGCTTAACAACCCAAGAAAAAGAAAATATTTTACGATTTTTAATGAATACCTTAGATTTAACCACTGAACAAAAATCAGCCTTAGAAAAAATGGGAATTAAGCCTTATAATGCCTCCGAGTGAGAAGTCAGTGCCGAACAAAGCAATCACTTATTAAAGTTTGGTTTAGAGAAAATTGAACTAAATGAGGAGCAAAAAGCCGAATTAGCCTTAATTCACTCCGATAACTTGCCAACTTTTCCTTTTACTGACCAACAAAAAAATATCCTGACTAGTTTAGCCCCATTAACCCGCCAAGATAAGTATTCTGCCGAAAGTTTAGAGTTATTAAACTCTTTATCTTTAAAATCCACTAATCTAAACTTTTTCACTAATGCGGAAATATTACCCAATCCTAATTTAGACTTTGGGGAAAGTAAGGATACTTATTTACCTTTAAAAATTAAGTTCTTATCAGGAGAACAGAAAACTTTATTAGCCGAGATTAAACAAAGAAAAAAGCAAGCTAATCGAACTGAAATCCAAGCCAATAAAGATTCTATTCTGATTTCTTTATTAGGGATTAGGAAAGACGAAAATTTAGGAGAGGACACAAAAAAGAAAATAATTACTTATTTTCAAGAGATTAAGCAAACACCAAAATTATTTGGATTAAACCTTTCTCTAGACAGATGAGTTAATTGAAATATTCTCAAAGGCTGACAAAGAGATATCTTACTAACTTGTGGATTGAAAACTATTCCGAAATACAACTACTTCGAATTATTATCTTTTACTGCCCAAATAACTAATAATTCTTTTACGGAAATCTTAAAAGAAAACGGATTAGAAAACGATTATCAAAAATACTTAGAAAATCAGGAAAACCAACACATCACCTTTAACAAAACCATTTGAGAAAGATTTGTGTCTTCTACCAGCACCCAAGAAAGAAAAATA